CCCCAAAACCCCAAAACCCCAAAACCCCAAAACCCCAAAACCCCAAAACCCCAAAACCCCGTTACGGCTATATTAATTTAAAGAATTCAAATTCTTGGTTTTTAAAAATGTCAAAACTGCAGAAATATCCAAGATGGCTATTCACCTTAGCTATCATCATGGCCTTGGTTCTCAATGGGTCATGACAAGAAGAAAATACCTCACAGGACTCTAGCACTGAGCTGTTCCATCAAGACATAGAATTGGAAAAAGGAGATGTAAGAAATATCAGAGTTCCCATGACAACTATTTTCTCAGAAATGCCAGACCTGTCTGTTCATAAGAATGTTATAGTAGTTGAGATCCAGAATGAGGTGCTAGACAGAGGTAATTCCCCATTCTCTCACCTCCTTGATGTTCAAGCTCAGATGAATCAAAAAAACATGTCAGGAGATGAAGTTGATCTCAAGGATATCATAATAGACAACGAAGGCAAAGATATGATCCTCCATTATGCAGTATATGATCTCTGTCACATAGAAGAAGATGCTTACATTGCCCTTCAAGTAGAAGCTCTCGATGGAAAGTTCAGAGGATTCGTCAGTGTTGAAGTAGTAGATTTAAACGCTTTTTCTATCCAATGTACTGACAAGGAATCCGATTTGTTCCTCCCCAGAGACCACCACTCCTCATGTGAGGCTTGGGACAGTAAGATCTGGGTATTCGGAGGGAAAAAGAATGTCAAGAAGCAAGAATATGCTCTGAACGATATCATGGTTTTGGACACAACATTTAACTCATGGACATCAATTGAACCCAAGAGCGGAAGCAGACCTTCACCAAGATATGGCCATGCAATGTTTTGTTACTTCCAGTACTTTGTCATTTATGGTGGTCAAGACCAGCAAGGAAATCTCTTAGGAGACTTATGGGTCTTTGACACAGTTGGAGAAAAATGGACTTTTATTAATAACAATTTAGATAGCCATGAACTCGAACATCTTGGAAAAAGTACGGAAGTTCCACAAGAGCTAGCATATTCAGGATCAGTAATGTTCCCTGAGCTTGGTGCAGGATACATTTCAGGAGGCTTCACAAACAAAGGAGCAGCCTGAGATATATGGGGGCTTAAAATGGAAAGTCTCATCACCTTTGTTGAAGACGGTGCTAAAAGCCTTGATAATTTCTGGATCAAGATAGATTCTACGGAGATGGAGCCACAAAGTCTTTACATGTGCAGAGAGCGGCATATAGCAGCTATAGTTGGAGAAGATTCATTTGTAGTATGGGGAGGTCTCAGTTCAGATAATACTTTTGTAAAGGATCCATATCTGTTCAATGTAAGTACAAAGAGAACTCAAAAATTAACCGTTGAAGGAAAGCAACCAGATCCAAGAATCAAAGAAGGTGTTTTATCAACTGGGGCTAAGATGGGAATATTATATGGTGGAGTTCCACTAGGTGGTACAGGAACTTACATTGATATTTGGCATTTCATGGTTGTTGGAAACTCTCTAAAATTTAAAGAAATTGAGTATGAAATGGAAGGAGATAATCTATTCATGACATGGAGACATGGATTCACTATGCACTATGCTAGGGGTATTCAGGACCCAGTTCTTGTAGGAGGAACATTTGGGAACAATCAACAGTCTAGAGCCTTAGTGTTGCTACCTGAAAAGAAATGTCAAGATAATGCAGAATACATACATGGAAAATGCTCTCCATGCCCAAGAGGAAGTATTTATGATGAAGGACAATGTAAATGGTGCCCAAAAAATTCATACTTCAAAGAAAATAAAAATGATTATTTCCAATCCCAATGATATAACTGTCCTTATGGGCTTGTTTCAGGATACTTTAAAAGCTGTGTGCCGTGACAAGGAGGTACTGTCTATGACATAAATCATCCTGATTTCTGTAGGACATGTTCTAGCGAATCTATTTGTCCTATTGGGACCAGATTTGAGTTTCCTATTTCAGAATATGGAGAGAACTTCCATGAAGTAACTTTGAACCATCTTCCTGAGATGTTCAATCCTCACCAGAAGCATTACGACCACACTTCCGTGATTGTTTTATTCATCGCAGTGTTCTGTACCCTTGTTTTATTCATTGTAATTGCAATCCTCCTCTCAATGTGTAAGGAACAAACTCTGTTCATCTTCAGAGAGATGGACGTCCCCTTCATCACAGGTCAAGGTACTAAGAAAGTAGTTGGAGGAGTGATCATGTTATTCTTTGTTCTGATAGTCTCCATCATCACATTTGGTTTCTTCATTAATTTCTTCTTGTTCAATTCTAAAACAGTGATGTTTGAGGCTAAGAATCCATACCTAGAGAGGGCATATCCTTCTAACTATTACTTCAAGATTTCTGTAGCAGTGAGTTCCTTCCTCGACCCTCATGATACTGGCAATGTGACTGCGAGTGAGAAGAGAGAATATCTGGATCATGAGAGGCATGATTTATGCCAAAAACAGATCTCTTATTCCATGTCTAGGTACTTTGCACAAGCTAAAGATGAAAATATCGCCTATTCTTGTGGAATTAAACGACTATCGCATGCTACCAATGAGTACGTAATTGAGCTGACAATCAAAGATATCAGAGATGAGGCTCCAGAAAATGCTTTTATCAGGTTCACCTTAGATTCAGATTTTGGAGAGATTGCTCATTTCATTCAATACGAATACTGGAACATTTGGAGGTATTATGAAGATTTTCCAATTTCTTTTTCATCGATCCGTGGATTTATCACGCCTCAAATGACAACTAAATCAAACTCAAACATTACTGCTGCTTTCAGAGGACCAAAGCCTACACAGTTGAAGTTTAGGTTGACGCCTACCCATTATGGTAACGAGATTGATAGTACAAACTTTGAAGGATACCAAGTATACCTTGAGGACTTTAAGAAGGGATCCACAGTAAACAAGAGAACAATCGCTACTAAAGAGACTCCTTCCGGTGAAGAGAGCAGAGGAATTGATATTGAGCTATTTACTCACGTTGGAGACACAATCAACCATGTGCAAGTACTTAGAAACAAGAGTCTACTAGAAACCTTAACCTACGTCTTAGGTTTCACTTCTGGATTTGTGATCATTGTTCATCTGTTGAAATACTTCCTTTCTAAAGAAGAATACTTCAGAGGTCTAGACAGAGAGTGCGACACACTGTTTGGTTCTGCTAATAATGAGATGTTAAGCCTGAATACAATGCCAAGAAGTGACTCTGTGAACGACTCAAACAGATTTATGAGCCCTATAAATAGAGAGGAAGGAAAGCATTCTGCATAATAATTCAAATTTGTTAACCCATATAGGGGTTTTGGGGTTTTGGGGTTTTGGGGTTTTGGGGTTTTGGGG